AATGGATTCTGAATGGCCCACCTTGGGTCAGGTGCGCACCTAGAGTTTGCCAGATGTGGCCGAAAACTGAAGCCAGACTGTTTAATGACCATGGGTGTGTAAGTGGGAAGCAGGTCCCAAAGAGGAGGTACTGAAGATGTCCATGTAGAGCTCACATAGGTTTGCTAAACTGAAAGAATGAATGAGTGAACGAATCACACCAAAGCATAAAATCCATTTAAAAATTCTCATCAATAAAGTTTGATTCATACATTCTTGGAATGGAAAGTATTTTTCCATTGGTGACAAGAAAAATAATAATTAAAAGCAATATCTTGTGAGTCACATCATTCTTGGATACTTGTTATCCTTCCTTTTCCTTCTCCTGTATTTGTCTTGACTTTAGATTAGTCAAGAAGCTTTTAAAGTACAGAACTGGCTTTTCATCTATTCTTCTGTTGTGAGAAAATATGTAGTTTTTACATAACAGGATGTTCAGTGTATGTTTTTAAAACTGCTATTTTTATTAGTATCCTCAGTGATTCATGTTGAACAAAGATGTTTGTTAATGAAACATAGGAACTGTTAAAATACTAAATACTGGAATTCCCATTTTCTACTTCCTTTAACTCTCTTTACCTAATTTAGTCACGTTTTCTCACACAAACTCAATAAGATATATGAAAAATTTAATTAAGTTCTATACACATTCTATAATTTTTCAAAGCCCTTTCTTGAGGTTGCAGTGCACTAGGCCAGGATGCAGGCCAAGCGTAGGTTAAGTGTCTTCAATAGCAAGATAAGTAAAACAAAACCAAGCAGCATGCCAAGAAGTGAGGCAATAAACAGGAGAGAGAGTGCATAAGCAGGAGAGTGAGGCTGGGTAAACATCTGAACTGCGTCATGAGCTTGAGGCTTGTGATTATTTATTTGATGTGCCAAGGTGTGTGGATGCACTACTGGGTCCATTTAGAGTTTTAGGCATAGGCTAATTTCCACCCTGCTTCACCTTTAGGGCCTACCCAGCAAATTTATACACATTCCGGGGCATTCCTGAGGTTACAGATAGAGTGCCATCATAGTTTCATTTTTCTATACCCATTCTAAAAAATCAAAATTAAGAGTTTGCAACAGTGTTCATGGGAGGGAAATACTTCTTTGATGACCTACCCACATTCCCCTTCTTGGTAATTCAGCGCTGACTGCTGGGGGTGATCACGAGCATGGAAGCCTAAATCTTATTAGGATTGCAGGAAAACATTTATATAGTAAATACATTTGATGTTGAAGTTCTAAAGGAAAGTTCTTAATTTTTTAAAAGAGCAAATTTACATATTTACCCTACGATCCTTTTCTTTCCTTGACATCCTTTGTCATCCTTTGAGATGAACGTTATAGATATGCTATATCATTTTCAACTTTAAAAATAGGTGTACTTGATACAAGAAGAATCATTTACTGCTCTAAATTTACCATGCCAAAACTGGTCTTCAAACCACAGTTATAAATTTCTTTATGGCTTAAATGATTTTTAATGGTATCATACTCATAAAATCAAACCTTGTATATATTGAATAGTTGCATTAATTCCATTTAGAATAAGAAAAAACAGCGAACTTTTAAACTTTTTTCTTACTAACAGGAGTTTCAATTTTTAGAAAAATCTAAACCCTTCATGATGTCCGGGAGGAAATACTATTCAATTGTTTGCTGAGGTATAGTACTAGTGACAGATTAGAAAACACTGTGCAGTACAAAAGGGATCAATTTTAAAAATTAGGAGATCTGAGTTTAGTCTTGCCTGTCAGTAGCTTTTTGTCCACTAGAAAAATTATACAATCTCTGTAGACATTCCTTTTCTACAAAATTTAGGTGATTACATTTACTTCTATGGTCCATTACATGTAGTTTTAAGATTCTACAAATATATGAAAATCTATTTTGTGTCAATATTTTTCCTTCAAATAATAGAATTTGATTAACCTGAAGAATTTGCATTATATCTTTCTATCTTTTTTATTCCTCAGAGAGTTATGATACATGAATAAAAGAAACACTATGAAGATCATTCAAAATTAAAAATCTTACTTTCTTATTCATTCTGTAAATTAACCAATATTTATTGAACACCAACCATATGCAAGCACTCCTGTTAAACACCAAGGCAGTTACAAATTCCTGCCCTCAAAGCGCTTACACAGAAGTTTTATACTGCCTACCAATGAGTCCTACAGCTTACAGATACATTTGATTTGGTCTGCAGTGCTGACTTCATGGTGTTTGTTATTTTTATATTTTTATTTATTTTATTTGCTAATTGTAAAGTGATTTTACATAAATATATGCATTTCTGGCTTATTTCAAAAAATCAAATTATGCCTTTTATTTTTGTATGATGAAAACTGATGAAAGTAAGTAACAACTTCTACTTTTAGATAGGATCATCACTCTCTAATTGATTATATATGCATTTACTTACTCCTCCTGGCCTTATTTAATTTCAACCCCTATTCTACAAACATAAAAGTACTTGGGAAGGTATCCCACTGACAGAAACCATACTGAGCTCAGTCTGCCAGAGAGTTTCACGTTAATGCAAAGATAGGCAATATATACACCTAAGAGATGATTTTGACAAGAGATAAGCATCAAGAATAGGATAAAGAGAAAGACATAATACAGTGATAAGCTTGTGAGAATCCAGAATGCAAGACAATTTGATAATTTGGTTTATAAGGAATTTCACATCATGTGGATTAATTTTTGTCTTAGTCTATTTATCTATGTATTGAGCTAAAAGAAAATTTTTTGCAGGAACTTTTGAAATATTAACACTATTGGGGTAAATACAGGCCATTTCCTCATCCTTGAATTCTACCAAAGTGTTTAAATAAATCTTTAGGACAGCTTAAAGAACAGATAGGAAAGAAGGAAGAAGTGTAAAGAAAATAATAATATTTATCTGAGAGAAAGGAGGAGCAGGGAAAGAGAAGGGGGTAGTGTATGGAGCAGGAGAAGGAAAAGAAAAATCATGAGAGAGAGAGAACAAGGACTGCTTTCATGCTCAGCTAGCACTCGGTAGCTATCTGGTTTATTACCTGTTAAAAAAATGCAGGAAAATAAAAGAAAATACTAATTTTAGTTTAGAAGGTGGTACCACTCTAAATGAGTATGTAAATATTAATTATGTTTGGTTGCATCTTTTTGTTTAACTTATGGTTTGGAAATTCCATTTTCTATTAAACAAAAATCAAGAAGTTTGGAAACAACCTAAATGTCTATCAATGAGGAGTTGATTAAAATAAACTAATGTCCTTATTATGGAAAACTTTGTAGTAAGAAAGTCAAAGCTGATTTATCTTTCAATTAGTCACAATAGGCATAGTGCCTAAGGCTCACAATACTTTTAGGAACCCATGAAAATGTGCTAATTTTAATTTCTTTTAAATTCAGAAGAAACAAATATAATAATAAAAGATAATAAATCCAGCCTGGAATATATTCATCTTTATACCAACATAGTTATAAAATATAACGTTAATTTTTTTTATTGAGAAATGGGTCAAAGAAGGCAAAAGTGCTGAGGGCCCACAAAAATCATCATTTGGCCCTGAATAAAACAAGATGACAAATCTCATGATGTACTGATATGGAATGATGTCCAAGGTATTTTTTAAAATAACAGCAATCGACAAGCAAAGTACCATTTCATCTGTGTTAAAAAGGAAACGTTTATATAACTTGTAAGTGTATGAATATCTCTGGAAGATGTACAAAAAACTGAACACATTATTAGGCCTTGAGAGAGTAACTGTGTATCTGGTGAATAGGGATGAAAGAGAGTTTTCCAGTAAATATACTGTTGCATATTTTGAATTTTGAACAATATAAATTTAATATCTGTTCAAATAAAAATATTTAAAAAATAAAGTAGGTTTTCATAATATTGAGGCAACTGATCATTAGGAAGCATATCTCTCTCTTGTAGGGCATCAAGTATAGCCTTTCAAATTAAGGATCTATTTTGAAATATAATGATTACTATACAGACATCACATGATCTTTCTGGAATTCAAAATGTTTAAGTATGGTGTTTCCAACAAATTCCAAATTTGGCCTCAGCTCAATTAAATTTAGAATGGCAAGATTTGTCCACAAAGACTTACATATTCAATCGCCTTGGTGAATTTCGTTTTCTTTTCTGAGGTGCCTGTCCTCTTCCTCTGCTTTAAAATACAAATTTCAGTCTTGCCCTGCCTCCCACTAATATCAACCACCAAACCCCACATTGCATTAAAGATGCCCATAGAAATCAGCTGCAGACATATCCATTACAGATTAGAAACCCCATGGCCCTTTGATCCCAATGACTCTTCAGCGCCTCAGTAAACTCCCATTGCCCGATAAGTGCAGTTTTATGCCTACTTGGAAACACTCATGCTAAGGAGGACTGTGCAGTACATATATAGAGCCAGTCATAGCTGCCTTGTCTCACAAAATATTAATCTCTTTCCATTTTCCCTTCAAACCTGATACTGACTTCTCCTCTCAGGTTCACTGCAAATACACTACCCCTCATTTTAAGAACACTAAATTACTGCATAGGATGAAATGTCCATTAATATAATCTTCCTCGATGAGGCCTAACCTTCACCCAAGTGATGATGGCAGTGAGTGGGAGGCAAAGGTGCTATCACTCCACTCCATATCTGGCTCTGCTCTCAAACACCACCCTCCTGTGCTCTTGCTTGTCCTTCGACCATAATCTGGTGTTTACTTCCTACAGTGATTATTCATTGGCTTGGGTACTCAGCTGCAGCCAATGAGAGCCATTTAACATTTAAACTTTCCTTAGCTCTATCCACTTCTGCCTTTCAACCAACTGACAGAATACATTTTTTTTTAAATCTTCAAGATAGAGAGACTTTGTAAGTATAATACCCTAAAATGAGGTCACTGGTACACATACCCTTAAGAAATAATTCACTGGCAGAGATGCAGAAAATATTTAAATGAAATAATACGATAGAAGTATTTTTATTAATAGTGTTCCAGATGAAGGGGAATTGTCCAACATAGTAAAGACATATGACAAATCATTAAAATTCATATTTGCAGAGATTTTAGACAAAGTAAATTTATGATATAAATATAAAAACAATGTAAATTATATATACTCTATTGTTCTAAATATGTAAGCAAAAGTTATATATGTATATGTATACACACAGGCCCGTATATAGCATTGGAATATTGAGAGGAAATTCTTAGGGTGGTAGAATTATTCCTTCTTTACATTGAAAATTTCCAAACTTTGATAATACCAACATATCACTTTTCTTATTAGGAAAATGCCATTTTCATGATCCACTGTATGAAACACCTGACACGGATATATTTTTATTCGTAGCTATTTATATTATCTTTTCTTAGATATACTTCTTTTATTTTTGACTGGTTGCTGTAAATCTAACAATATTCCTCCTTATTATTATTTTAACAATGTCTATTTAGCATCAATATTGTGCCACTTCAATTTTCACTCCTAATCTGTGAAGCTGCCTACTACCTAAACCCCTTTCACACCTGACATTTCCCACCTCACACTTCACAAATGTAATAGCCTTACAATAGTGGATTCTATTTATAAAACATTCCACTTCTCACTTCACACCTAACATTTCAAACTTCAAATTTCATGTCAGATTTTGCAGTCAGGAAAGAGTATTTCCATTTACTGCATCTCTCTTGTCCTTTACCTTTATGCTCCGTTTCCATATTTTTATTTGTACATGCTTCAAAAACATGGCCTTATATTATTTTTCAAAGCATTACATTCTTTTAAAGAAAATTAGAAGAGAATAAAAAATAGCTTTTTGTATCTACACATTGATTTTCCATTTCTGCTTACTAGTCTTCTTCCTATAAATCACAATTTCCATCGTGTATCATTTCAATTCAGGCTGAAAAATATCCTTTAGTATTTTTTGTAGGGCACTCTGCTTGAAATGAGTTTCCTCAGCTTTCATTTGCCTGAAAATATCTTTATTTTTTCATATTCTTTGGAAGATAATTTTACTGGATATAGAATTCAAGATTATGAGTTAAAAATTTTTTTTTATCACCTTAAAGGTGCTACTGCAATGTTTTCTGATCTCCATCGTTTCTGATGAGCAGTAATGCCTTCATTTGTATTATTGTTCTTCTGTATGTAATGCATCATTTTTCTGTGGCTCCTTTAAAGGTTTTCTACTTTGTTGTTGACTTGTATGAGTTCTCTATATTTTTTGGATATTAATCCATTATCAGATGTATCATTTGCAAATACATTCTCCCAATTGTTAGGTTGTCTTTTCGTTTTGTTGATGGCTTCCTTTGCTGTGCAGCAGCTTTTCAGTTTGATGCAGTCCCATTTGTTTATTTTTTCTCTTGTTTCTCTTGCCTGAGGAAACATAATATTCAAAAAGATACTGCTAAGACCAGTGTCAAAGAGCGTACTCCCTATGTTCTCTTCTAGGAGTTTTATGGTTTCAGGTCTTACATTCAAGTCTTTAATCCATTTTGAGTTAATTTTTGTGTATGGCGTAAGATAACGGCCTACTTTCATTCTTTTGCATGTAGCTGTCCAGTTTTCCCAATACCATTTATTGAAGAGACTCCCCTTTCTCCATGAGACTCTGATACTTGTGACTCTCAGTGTGACTCTGATATGCCTAAGTGCGGTTTTCTTTGTGTTTATCCTGCTTACTGCTCTCTGATCTTCTTAAAACTGCAAATCAAAGTTTTTCAGTTATGATTTTTCAAAAATATTTTATTGCCTCGCTATACTCTGGTTTTTCTTTTGGAGCTCCAATGCATATATTTTAACTATGTAGTATTGTTCTATAAGTTCATGGGGTTCTGTTTACTTTTGCTTAAATCTTTCATGTATTTTCATATACAGTTCTTGAGACTGTATAACTTTTGTTTGTTTCCCAAGCCCCTCTAATTTGGCAAGATTCAATCTCCAAACTCCGTCTCCGCTAAGAATCTTATTAGGACTTGGTTTTAAGCTTTGTTAAAGTGGATCTAGAGTGGGCCTTTCTCTGGGTGTGGCCTTTATCATAAAGCAGTGATTCAGCTTGATTCATACATTGTTAGGAGGTGTCAAGGAGCTCTATTCAGTATGTCTGGGCGATAATTCTGAAGTTCCCAGCACTGCTTACTGTCTAATATCTCTGTTCTGCTCTCACCTCTGTAGCAGCCAATCTCTCGTAATCATTAAGTGGCCATGACTGTGGTGGCACTGCCCAGGTCTCAGTCAAGGACTTGTGGGGAACTCTCCACAGGAAATTCACAACCTCCACAGACTTCTTCTCACAATTCTCTGCCCCACAGATTCCAACAACTCCAAAAGCCCAGAACTCTGACCTCTGCCTCTTTAGATATGAGAGACTTCCATATTCTGATTGAACTCTAGGGCACTGCACTGCAGCTGGGAAATTTTCCCCTCGTAGAGATCAACATCTGTGGAGCTCACCTTGTTTGTCTCTCAAGAACCATAGCCCACGTGTATGGTCATTTTCTTTTAGATATTTAATCCTAACATTTATTCATGTTCCTTCTTGGTTATGCAGTGCCTACCCCAGCAGCACTGTTCCCTTTTTATTCTTGAACTGTTCCTCTTTAGTTGTCTCTCTGACATTCCAATTCTGTCTTCACATTCTAGCTTTTAGTACATTCTCTTGGCCTCCTGGTTTTGTGATCAGTTCATATTATCTTTTCTGGACTGCTGAACTCTGTTTTCTTTTGGACTTCAGGGTACAGACAGTCCTCTGATGTGGAAGTTTCCTGCCACTTAAAGTATAAGAGATTCTTTCTGTCAGATGTGACTATGAATGACCATTACAATTGAGCCAGCCTCCTAACTTCCCTCATCCTTAATGGACAAGCAAGGGGATTTTTTTCTTTTCTGAGGAAGATTAGCCCTGAGCTAACATCCGTGCCCATCTTCCTCTACTTTATATTTGGGATGCCCACCACAGCATGGCATGCCACACGGTCCCATGTCTGCACCTGGGATCCGAACTGGCAAACCCCGGGAGGCCAAAGCGGAACGTGTGCACTTAACCGCTGAGCCACTGGGCTGGCCCCAAGCAAGGAGATTTTGACACCAGGGATTACTTACTGAGCCTTGTTCTCTATTAGACTGAACTGAAAATGAAACACTTATCAACATAAACCTTCCTCTTTTCCTTGCTAACATAAATTTAGTTAGAGACTAGAATATGTCCACCTAAATATTAAAATTTCCAGATTTCCAGAAGCTAGAAGTGGCCACGTGACATACTTCTCTCTAATGAGACGCATGACAAAGGCATCGGGTGGGGTTTGCGGGTAACCAATTGCTTTCATTGTTAAAAAAAAAAAAAAGAGACACACACGGCTCTTCACTTCTCATTATGCCTATTCCCCATCCTCCTGCCTCTCACCCACTCTGCCTCAGGAAGTTCTGACCTTAGACTTGAGAAGAACATGACACAGCCAGCCATCTGATCCTAGAAGAATGAGGTGTCTGGAGCAAAACTGAATTAAACCTCTGGACTGGAACCAAGTCTGTACAAGGTCAGCTTAAATCAGTCAATCCCAGTTTGTCCAAAGTGAGAAAGAAATGTTTTTTTTTCTGGGAGAGAGTTGCCCTGAACATCTGTTGCAAATCTTCCTCTCTTTTTTTTCACTCCTCCCCAAAGCCCCAGTTCATGGTTGCATATTCTAGATGTAGGTCTTTCTAGTTCTTCTATGTAAGCTGGCACCACAGCATGGCTACTGACAGACAGGTGGTGTGGTTCAGTACCTGGGAACGGAACCCAGGCCACTGAAGTGGAATGTGCCAAACTTTAACCACCAGGCCATCAGGGCTGGCTCAGTGCTTATTTTTCTGTATGCCACTGAGATCTTTTGGTTACGAAGCATTATTCTAGCAATAGCTGATCGAGATAATAAGCTAGATTCAAATCATGGAAACCTTTAATTAGAAGATAAACCATAGCAGGGAACAGCTCACCTCTGCTGCTAGACTGCCTGGGTTCAAAGTCCAGCTCTATTGCTTTTACTCATGCGGATTTTTGCCAAATTGATTACCCTCAGTGTAATCACGGTGTCTCAGTTTCCTTCATTGTAAAACAGGACTGATAATGGATTGGGTGTTTTTGGTGAGGATTAACAAAGCTAATCATTTAATATTTGATAACATGATATCTGGTACACAATATATGCTTAATTAACATCCAAAATTATTGTCAATACCAGACTGAGAGGTTTAGATTTAACTCAGTAGGTCAGTGGTTTTTTAACAGTATTTTCATGGAAGAATGGTGTTCTGTCAGCTGAGGTGTTCCCTGATAAATTAGAATAATGGTGGTCTTTTCTTAATATGCAGATTAATTTAAGTAAATTGATATAAATTCCTTGTTCTAAGAATTTTTCTCTCCTATATGTTTTCAAATCTCCAGTGCTTGGCAGAACTTGTTTGCAAGCCAACTGAAAACAAGTAAATGAACAAGTAGTATTATTAATTTAAAAAATTCAGAAACATCAATTACACTTAGTTTGACAACTTGTCTTTTAAATCAAGATATGTGCCCCAAATTGTCATTTTGTATTACATGAGCAAAAAACAATATTTTCTCCCAGGAGACTTTCTCCTAGTTCCAGTGATGGAATTGGAAATATTGTTTCATTATGCTTTACAAATAATACGGTATTCTGCAAAGAACACAATAATTTGCAGGTGCTTTGCTTGCTTAAGATCACTGTTGACGAGAACTGAGACTCTCTGGGGAAAAAATCTACTTGTTTGTTGTTCTTTTGCTATTTTAAGAGAGATCTGAGCCTGAAAGTTTACCCTGGCAATAATATATAGAGTTTAATTGAAGGTAGAAAGGGCTTGGAGTCAAGTAGGCTAGTGTATAGCCCAAACAATATAAAAATGATTCCTTCTCAGAAGCAGGGAATGGAAAAAGAGCTGACTTATGAAAAAGATAAGATGTTAGGGAACTAGAGAAGATTTGACAAAATCTGAATACAAGTGGCAAAGAAAAGGAGAGATTCTTAAACTTTAGTGTAAATGAAAATCACACTGAGAGCTTAATAAAAATGCATACATAGTCCATGTCCCCACTCCTAAAAATTCTGGCTGAGAAGTTCTGGAATAGTGACCTAGAACATGCATTTTTAACAAATGCTATCTCTGATTCTGATTCAGGTGACTTGGAGTCACCTTTGGAGAAACATTAGAACATGACATGCTGTAATCATTTGGAACGATTAGTTTGGCTCTGTTATTTCAGGATTATTTAGCACTTTGCATGTCCCAGTTACTGGAAAGGACTGCTGCAGATGAGAAGACAAGGGTAAAGGGTGACTCTAAGATTTTATGCCTGAGAACCTGGGAGAAGAATAATACTATTAATCAAGATGAGGAACACAAAGGTAAAATGAGATACTGTAAAGAAAGTCAGACGATGCACTTTTTGTTTTTGGAACTGTTGACTATCTGTTTTTGAGGGGTGATAGGGAGTAGCATAAAATACCCAGCCTCTTCTACGTATGGCTCTGAGTAAGGTTGTGAATAAGGGAGATAGGAAATCCAAAGAGCCACTTTATTACTGATAAATGCCAGGTTGGAAGCTAAAATTAGGGTGTGTCACCAATGGTCTTCCTCACACTGGAACTCAGCATTAAGATGCCTAGTCCCTGCAATTCTACCAGGCAGGAACGACTGCAATACTCTGTTACCTCCAAGCAGCTAAAGGACCCTATCCTGTCCACTCTACCTGGAGTAGTCCTTTACAAAAGTTTTACTGTAGGTCAAGTACTGTAGACAAGTGCCACTTGTTATTTATAAGACACACTTCAGAATTCAGAATAAGTGCAGTTGTTTATTGTGTCATCTCCATTTGGACCTAAGTACTATCAGAGCAAGGATCTCATCTTATTTGTCTATCAGCCAATACGCATAATTTAGCACAGTGCTAAGCAAGGAGTAGAAACTCTAGACAATTTGTTGAATAATTTTTTAAAAAGAACAAATATTAACTTTGGCTTCTGGTCATGTGTTTTTTCGTTTGCTAGTATCTGCTCAAATCCATGTTATTGGTGTCAAAATTAAACAGGCAAAGAAGACTTTAGTCAAGATTATAGCAATAGAGGAGAGAGGCCAGAACTCAACTCCCCAGAAAGAAACAGAGCTGGAGAGATTTTAAAAGATTTAGGGAGCATCATAAGCCGCCTGTGTTTACTAACTGGGCTTACCCAAAGGAAAAGTGAACTTTTTCTCGTAGCTTCGTGACAGGAGGTAGTTTTCCAACTTGGAACAAGGTGCCTGTCTGTTAGGCTCCTACTCATCCACAGAGACTGAGAGATAGGAACGCTATCTTTTTTATTACATCTCAAAAGGACGACTCCTAGGTCCCTAACAAAGACAGTCCTGGGTTGTAAAACAGGCAAGAGCTTTAAAAGAAGATTTATATCTCAAAAGGGCAGAGAACGAAATTACAATTGCAAGCTTTCTAAAGTAAATGCTCTAAGGAAAGGGAGGTCGGGGATCCAGTGGCAAGAAGAAACCTGTCTAAAAATTTGTACCTGAGCTGAGGGAAGTGTCAAGCCTCTCTTCAGCAATCATTAGCTGTGGTTCTGCAGTTTTCACCAAGGAACTCAAATTATAAGATTCCGGTCTCTCACGGTTCCCTCACGCAAGGAGTTGCTTCACACTTTACAAACTCCTTCGTTTACGTTCTTACTTGTCACCCATCCGCTGAGCAGTCCCCGCTGCTTCCGGCAAGGCGCGTGCGCAGACCGTCGTGCGGGCCTGACGTCACTGAAAGCGCCTGCCTCTACATGTTAGCAACCCAGGGCGTCAGTAGTAGCAGTGGCTGCTGAGATGTACGAACTTCCGGTTCTTCTGGCAGCTGCCGCCGCTGCCGCCTCTGCCACCTGCCACGGCCCAGCCTCAGCCGGGGATTTGGTCACCTCTTCCTCGTTCTCCACTGCGCCCATGATCCCTCCTGCAGCCTGGGCGGCGGGCCCTGCGGCTCCCGCGTGGTGAGAGGGCGGTCTGGGGACAATGGAGGCCCCACGCTGCAGCTGCTGCCCCAGCCGCCTCCTGGCCTCCGCCCTCCTGCTGCTGCTGCTGCTGCCAGGGTTCAGAGGGCCTTTGGCGGTGCTGCTGCAGGCGGCCGAGGCTGCGCCGGACCCCGGGCCTCCGGACCATGGGTCGCGGACCCTGCCGCCTCTGCCGCCCGGCCCCACCGCCGCCCAGTCCCCAGGCCGCGCTCCGGCCGAAGCCGCGGGGCCGCGGGGCGCTGAGAGCAGCAATGGCAGCAGCCCCGGGGCGGGGCTTGCGGCCAGCGACCTAGGAGGGAAGGCGGGGGAAGAAGGCTCAGTGGGTGGCGGTCTCGCTGTGAGCCCCAACCCCAGCGATAAGCCCATGACCCAGCGGGCGCTGACCGTGTTGATGGTGGTGAGCGGCGCGGTGCTGGTGTACTTCGTCGTCAGGACGGTCAGGTGAGGCGAAGCCTCGATCAGCGGCCCCCTGCAGGCCTGAGATGGGCTGCCTGGTGACCTAGGAAGGCAGATTTTTGTGACCCGGCGTTGCCCCCTCCACGCCTCCAGTATCAGAGGTGTCTGCCTGAAAGAGACTGCGCAGATGAGTGTCTTAAAAGTCTGTAGTACATTTGGGAGAGAATTTAAAACAAATATTTTCTCCCTTTCATTGTAAATTGTAAATTAGTAACCCACCTACAGATCTCTTTACCTCGTCTCATAGAGCACACTTTGCCTGAAGAAGCTCTTGTATTCGATCACACTATCTTCTAATACTTCTCTCTTTCTACACTATATATGGTTGTGTGCTTTGTCATTTTGCCTATGAGAATGCAAACTTCTTAAGAACAGGATTCCTATTTAGTAGATTGTAAGTCTTAAAGAGTTCTTTGTACAATACTGCGACTTAGTAGGAAATCCGTTCTTACTTGAATGGAGTAATAGTAGTGCAGAAGAACCTTATTATGGGTATTTTATTTTATAAAATTTAAAAGAAGAAAAGTTTTTTCTTACTAGCAGTTTCTTAATATTGGCTTTTAATCTGCTGCCTAAGTAATTAGATTGTGCCATATGAAGTTTCCTACATTCCACTATTTTTTGACCTGGAAAAGTGACAGTTTTGTATAGTTCAATCTATGACATGGTCCCTATTAATCAGAAATATTTAGCATTCATTTTGCATGACACAAAGTATTTCAGTGCAAAGTGGTATCGGTTGCATGATAAGATGGTAAATTGATACCTATGCAGCAAAGGAAAAAAAGTCATAAATATCCAGTTTTAATATTAGAGCAAATTTTTGGTAGCCCAACGAAACTATAAGTGTATCTAACTTTAAATTTGCAAAAATTTGAATTAATAAATGGATAAATTTGTATTTCACACAGAAAAAACCTTTCTAAAATGAATTCATCTGTAAATAATAATTCTAACATTCAAAAGTTTAAATTTACAAAATAGTTTTTTGAGCCTATTCTTGCTACAGAATACTAGATCATGGACTTATTTAAATTTCAGGTTTGGAACAGATGTGATCACTTAAATGACACCTTTCAGTTTACATATAAGGAAACTGATCCAGAAGGGTAAAGTGATTTATCTGATGCCCTATGGGGTCTAATGATAATCTATGATTGTAAAATCCACTGCTTACTTTGAGTTTTTTTCCCATTAACAAGATATCTATGTCCTGACCTATCATCAGCCTTTTGATTAAGTAAACTGGGCATTATGTTCTAAGTACCTATTGTACATAAAAGTAGGCGATTGCCACTTATTTTTCTGCCACCCTTAATGCTTTATCAAGTAGAAAAAGAATTACATAATCCAACTAGTGATATTTGTTATTGTTATCAATAGCCTCCATTTAATACATTCCTTTGTTACTGAAGTAAAATTGTTTTATGATACTAATCATGATATTAAAATATTCCAACCATGTAATAAGATTGATTTAGAATAATCTATAATAAAGCCTCTTTAAGTGAGTTAATTGGGGACCACCTCTGTGAAGAGCTGACATAGAGAGCCAAGACGTCACTATTAGAAGGAGCTAGCCAAGAGAAGAGCTGAGGGAGCACTGTCTAGGTAGTTTCCTCCTCTATAAAATAGAGGATAGATTTTCAGGAAGGCACTGGTTTATTATTTTCCAAACTATTTCCCATTTTTTCCCTCTATTATTTCATATATTTCTTTAAATGTGTTTATTTAAACTAAATGTTTCCTTTTAAACAAATCTGTTTATTATTTTCTGAATGGAAAACCAACATCCCTTACTTAAATAGCTGGTTGAAAAAGTACGGTGTAAACCAGTAGTTCTAGACATGTGGTCTAGGGAACCCTGGGGTGGGTGGGAAAGTTCTCTGAGACCTCTTCAGGGGACCTGCAAGATCAAAACTACTTTCAAAATAATATTCTCTTACAAGCTTATTACAAGAAGTTGATTGATATAGTTTCGGATTCTATGTGGCAACTAACCTTTAAGAGACTACCTCTTGTTGAGTTTTGGTGTAGTATCAAAAAGGAATAAACACCAGTATCTGAAAAGGGTATTAAAATGCTCTTCCCTTTTCCAAGTTCATATCTGTGTGAATCTGGATTTTCTTCATATCTTTCAACCAAACAACACAATGCAAATGCCTGAATGCAGAAGCAAATATGAAAATCTGTTTTCTGTTTTCTCTTTCTTCCTATCTTCTATCTAGTTCTATCTGCTTAAGCCAGACATTAAAACGATTTGAAAAAATCTGAATCAATGCCATTTTTTCACCTTTTTTTGTTTTCTTTTTGACAATATATTTTCCCTAGAAAGTTATGTTAACATATAGTAGATTTATTATTATTTTAAATCAAGTGTTAAGTATTTTAAAATTTCCTTAGGTTTAATTCACGTTAAGTATTGATATATAATCCACATAAATATAAGCTTTTTGGGCTCCTGAATAATTTTTAAGAATGTAAAGGAATCCCAAGACTAAAATTTTTGAAAACCACAGGTGTGAACAATATTATTTGAGCTAGAAACTATTGGTTCACAAAAGCTAGCAAATCCAGGCCCACTGTCTGTTAAGGGGGAAGTTAGAAAATGTTTGTGAGCTGTTAGAAACATATTACCACCAAACTGAGACTTCTTGATATAAAGAAAGATTAGGAGAAAATTGAAGCAGAAAATACTTTTCTCACTATATAATTGGTATTTAATGCTGTCTGTGTATTCCTGTAAAGATCCAGAATACCCTGAGTATTATGTTTCTTATACATATTAATTATGGGTCTGATGATAACTTTTTTGGGATGATCCTTCTTCATTTTGCTTCCACCTTATAATCTTATATGTAAATGTTGATTGCCATTGATTTTCTATCTTCATTTCTATGAAGCTTGGAAGGGTATGGTCTTTTTGGTGTGCTTCTCTTGGATGACTCACTAATGTGTTGTGTGTTAGCAGCCAAATTTTGAACTGTGGCTAAGAAAAACTCCACTCTTTAACCAGTATCTAGTACATTCATTCAGTCAAAGTCCTAAATTTAGTTGGCTACCTGATGTCCAAAGCTTGATTGATGCTGACAATGCTGGGCAATGTTCAGAGTTCATGCTTTTTGCTTCCAGATTATGAGATGAAAACGATTAATTTTGGTAAATGCCCATTTTGGTCCCGCACTTCCAAAGTATGTGGGGCAGCATACCAACATTAGTTATTTGTACCAAGGGGGAAGAATGGGTTAAAATCATCATTTTCTTGACTGACATGAGGCAACACTGAGAATATTTTGCCTGTAAAATACTTGAACTCCGTGAACTTCCAAATTGTTTTGTTTTAATATAATTCAGTTATAATGAGTATGAAACTAGAAATATTTCCACTTTGAGCCTGGAAATATTCCAAAAAACAATGAGATTCTCTGTAGAAATTGAAAAATATATACAAGGAACACAGTAGGAACAGCAGACTTCCTAAAAATACATAATATCTGTGAGAAGAGGCTCATTGTCTGCCTTATTCTCTACTGTATCCCTAGTGCTAAACATTATGTACAACATATGGTAGGCACTGAATAAGTAGTTGCCTAATGAATGAGTGTTCCTAGTTAATCCTTTATATTGTAGGTGGCGAAGATTTGGAAATTTAAGGGTAATTGCTACCCACTGATAGAATAAAGAAGTCTGAAGTTTTCAATTAATACTTAGATTTCCTTCCTCTCTGTAGGGCATCCTTCTCACAGGAAAATCTATAAAGCAAGAAAAAAATTACTCTATAAAGTCATTATTATTTTTAGCATATATGTTGATTATGTAAAGGCAATTTCCGGTATAACTTTGTGAATAATGGTTCTTGCCTTAAAAGTGGGGAATTATTTCTTTTTTCATACCATAACATTGATGCTTTTTCATTTTGTGTTCAATATGTTGTGTTGGAAGGAGACCAAGGCTTAGATTCCAACCCTGACACTTTTTTCCTCTGTAATCTTTAGCAAGTCATGTAACCTTTCCAGTTTAAGATCTCTGTAAGCTGAGATAGATAGCTATTTTATATGGTGGACATGGGCATGAAATTTAGTATGCTAGCCCCTATTCACGTAGTCAGTATTTATTCAGCTGCTCAGAACCTGGGCATTCGGGATCAGTTGTGAAAGATATAGATATTTCTGCCTCCATGGCACTTATAGGCTAGAGGAACAGAGAGACATTAATCAATCAATCACATAGATAATA